AGTGTTGCCCCCGTACCGGACCGGGGACCGGCAACGGGATCGCAACCCTCGGTGTTGCTCCCGCACCTCGCTCAGCCAGTGAGCGGGAACCGGTCTGTATGTGGGATCCGAACCCTCGGGCGGGAGCGCCGCCGCACTTCCCAAGCGGCGCACTATCCAGTGCGCCACCGGGCCGGCCCCTTGAGGTTTTTTTTTTAATTGACATTTTCTGCCATTCCTCTTTATATCTAAGGTGCTTTACTGGCTTACATATTCCCATGTATCTCCTAGGTATCGCATCACAATTGGCAATAAAACCTGTGTGTTTGAGAAGGAAAATGACCCATCAGTGTTGCGCTCACCTTCTGCTGGGAAGTTAATCCAGTACATTGTGGAGGATGGAGGCCATGTATTTGCTGGCCAATGCTATGCTGAGATTGAGGTCAGGGTGGTGACTGGGCTGTGGGCTCATGGGAGGGAAGGTAGAAAAAGGATTGCTGGAATGGACTAAGACTGAAATAGAAAAGAAAAAACATCCGTTGGTTTAATTGGGGTATGAACCTTAAGATTTTAAAAACAAATTAAAAGCTCAAAGTTTTTCTTTGACAGATGAGGAATCTCTAGTTCTTGTAATAGATACTGGGCAATAGCACTTATTGAATGTTAGGTCTTATGCTAATTGCTTGCTATAGAGAAAGTATGGTAAGTACAGTTGGGGCACAAAACAGACAAGTAATGAAATGTGATGAATTCTATGGAAGCTAAGTACATAATGCAGAGGTCCACCTAACCCAAATTGACGTAGGGTGCATAGTAAGGGAAAACATACTGAAATGGGACATTTGATCTTACTTTTGAAAGACATGATAGATCAGATGAGGAAGGGCAGGGAAGAGTTTAATGTTGAAGGAATAGCATGTACAAAGGCACAGAAGCAAGAGGGTGTGGTGTATTTAGGGAACTGCAAGTATATATTGGTGTTGCTTGAGAATAGACTAAGGTTTAATTGGGAATGCCAAGCAAAGATGCTAAAGAGGTAATGTGGGGTCATAAAGGATTTAAAAAGCCACGCTAGTAAGTCTAGGCTATCCTGAAGGCAGTGGGGAATCATTGAAGGATTTTAAGTGAAAAGTGATATGACGAAATTTGGACTCTAGAATAATTGTTTTTAGTGACCTTGTTGGAAGTGTATAGCAGGTAGGGAAAACTCTTGGGAGGTTTTTAAAATTACTGTAGGCCAGAAATGATGAGGGCCTAAAGCAAAGAGGTGGCAAGAGAGGAAGATTTTTAAGAGAATTTTACAAGATATCCCTGGCTAGGGTTGGTAATTGGTAGATAAGGTTTACCCTAAGGTTTTGGCATGGATATCTTAGGTAGACAGACTGGATCCAATAGTATGAGGAGGCTAAATTAGTCATACCTTCTAAGGTCAAAACAAGTAAAATCATAAACTGGCAAAATGGATTTAGAAGTTCGAGACATGTCAGTAACTGTTATTAATTCCCAAAGACAGATCCTGAGAGATTTCCTAAGTGCCTGCCTTGGTGTCCCTAGGAGATTTTGATAGATTCTCATTTTTTCCTGGGTTGAATTAAGTAGAGTCCAACTTAGATGCTAAGGTGAAAAACAACCTCTTTTATTTATTTATTTTTAAAATTTATTTATTAATATTATTTTTTTATATTCTAAGATGTTGTGGAGCAGTTGGTGGGGAGGGGGAGAGGGGAAGAGGGAAGTGAATAGGGTGGGAGGAGTAGGAAGGAAGGGGGGCATGGTTGAGGCCCATGGCACCCCCTTCATTCCATCGAGGGCACCAAGGGTTTCTGGTGGCAGCCCAGTGGTGGTGGTTGTGCTGGTTGCAGATATACTGACCTCTTTTAAACATTTGCCTGTGTAAAGAGAGGTCAGACTCTAATTAGTTATGTTTTTCTCTGTAGGTGATGAAGATGGTGATGACCTTAACAACTGCAGAGTCTGGCTGTATCCATTATGTCAAGCGGCCTGGAGCAGCTCTTGACCCTGGCTGTGTAATAGCCAAAATGCAGTTGGACAACCCCAGCAAAGTTCAGCAAGTGAGTAGGAAGATACTCTGAATATTACTCTCCAAGAGCTGAAGAATTTGGAGGCGCAAGTGATTTCAGTGCTTGGTTTGCCAGTTTTTTCTTAAGCTTTCCCATCCCTGTGTCTTATGCCTTGTATTTGTGCCAATAGTATTGTGGAACTAGAGTTTGTAATTTCCTGATGATGTTTAATCCATTGACTTCTCTCCTGGTAACTGGGTATGGTCAAGGGATGTCTTGATTTTGAATAATGACTAATTTGCAGTGGTGTGTTTGTACCCTGAATAAAAGGTAGTGGATGATTTGATCTCTTGTTGGGGTTAACAGGCTGAGCTTCACACGGGTAGTCTGCCACAGATCCAGAGCACAGCACTCAGAGGCGAGAAGCTCCATCGAGTGTTCCACTATGTCCTGGATAATCTGGTCAATGTGATGAATGGATACTGCCTTCCAGATCCTTTTTTCAGCAGCCGGGTATATGAAGCACTTCTCTTGGGGAAAGGATATATGAATGGGTTACTTGTTTTCCAAAATAGTTTAAAGTTTTATACGGATTTTTTTGGAGGGAGGGAAAGAAAGCTGTTTATCCTGGAACTCTTCTGCCTTTAGTTGTGAGGTCTGAAGTCTTTAAATCCTTGCTTATTATTTTTGTCATGGACTTTACATTTAATTGAGATTACTCCTTTTTAAACCAGAGAATAGGGGCAATGTTAGATGCTTACATTGCAATTTCAAAGTAAGCAGTATATGATAGTGAATTCAGATATATTGTTTTAATTTGGGGATTGTGTTAACAATGGATCCTATTTTATTCTTTCTTAGGTAAAAGATTGGGTAGAGCGATTGATGAAGACCCTCAGAGATCCCTCCCTGCCTCTCCTAGAATTGCAAGATATCATGACCAGTGTCTCTGGCCGTATCCCCCCCAATGTGGAGAAGTCTATCAAGAAGGAAATGGCTCAGTATGCTAGCAACATCACATCAGTCCTCTGTCAGTTTCCCAGCCAGCAGGTATTTATAGGGTAACACTTTCATTATTTTCCACTCACTACCAGTGCTTGAGTTCATGTTGTAAGGTTCCTTCCTCTTTGGATCCTCTTTACTTTCTAGATGTTGTGCTTTTAAAATTTTAGATATTGTACCCTTTATAAAACTGCCTCAGGATACAAACCCAATAATGAAAGTAGTGTGTGTGAAATATAAAATATATGTGATTATGAGAAAAGCATGCTTTGCCTATGTACTCCATATAGCTATGTTCATGGGGCTGTTCCCTAAGGAGCGATGCTTCCATGAGTTTAAAGTAGAGAGAAATTGATAGTTTTATTATCAGAGACTTCCTTACCATCTCCTCAGCATTCTTCCCCTTTGCCTATAAAGCAGATTTACATGTAGGGAGTAAAGCTAGGCAGGTGGGGAGCAAAGTTTGGATCTTGACCTTAAGCAGATCTTGCCTGTCAGAGACTCTGGTAAGGTGGTAGTTTTGTGATGCTGTCATTAGTCCATCTGGGAAAAGATGAAAAATAGATAAAAACTGCATGCTTACTTAGCAGAAGCCTATAAACTATTCCCAGTAACTTCCAGCTGCTGCCAACACATAAAGATAGGAATTGTCATGTTATAACTAAGAAGATTCCTAGTCGTAATGCTATAGAGGCTGAGCTTTGGGTCCCTTTGTTGGGCTAGGCTTTATTTTTTACCTTGTTTATGCCTTAGATTGCCAACATCCTTGATAGCCATGCAGCTACATTGAACCGGAAATCTGAACGGGAAGTCTTCTTCATGAACACTCAGAGCATTGTCCAACTGGTACAGAGGTAATTACATGATTCTAGAGCTGTCCGTCTCTATACCTTCCTTTCTTGTAAGTGGTCATAAAGAGATTTACCTCAGGTTTGACATCAAGAAGTTAGAAATTATTTTGTATCTTAGTACCTTATATCTTTTAAATATCTCAGAATGGTGAGCTTTCATACTCAATATTTCTGATACCTTCTTATATTCTATCTTTCTATCAATTACTAAGGCACAAAAAATTGATTGTTATTTTTTTCTTTTTATTGTTGTTTGTCTAGTACAGAGATCCATCTTTTTCTTTGCTGTTTGATGAAGCTCCTAATTTTTTTCTTTTGGCAAAGTACTCAGTATGACATTTATTCTTGTCTTATGGAGCCAAGTATTAGACCAAAGGGATATTCACTGAGCATTTTCAACTTTAAGATACTCATAAGTTTTTCAGATATCCCTTAGCCATTTCAAGGATGTGGTGTTATTTTCTGTTTAGCAGTAGCAATTGATTCAGGTTGTTGTTAGGTAGGGCTGTGAAGTTTTTTGTTTTTGTTTTCCTTTTCTTTTTTCTTTTATGAAAAATCATATCTATACCTGGTTGATCTTCCCAGAAAAAGAAAAAAAAAAAAAACCTTGTCCGTAGTCAGGTTTCTTTTAGGCTTGGAATTTAAATTAATCTGGTTAGTTGATACTAGGCTCTATATTCAGAGGGAAAGCTGTTCATTGGAAAGTCTAGAAAGTATATTTGGCCTCTGAGTTTATTATTTAATAGTGTTGGCCTGTCAGATTTTTCAGTGAAGACTTTTTCTATTTGCCTAGATACCGAAGTGGCATTCGAGGCCACATGAAGGCTGTGGTAATGGATCTGCTCCGACAGTACTTGCGAGTAGAGACACAGTTTCAGAATGGTAAGCCTCTTCCCAAGGATTCTCTATCTAAGAAAGTTTCTGATTCTGATGACCAGCTCAAACTACCTCTACAGGGTTTTGCAAGAGCTCAGCCAGTTCATCCTGTCATCTTACTTCCCATTGATGAATTCTTCCTCCTTTCATAACCCCCTTAGAACTAAACCTTCATATCCTACTAACGCTAAAGAAAGAACACAACACAGCTTGATGAGACTGTGAATCCAGCGTGCTTCTGGGAAAGGACTGAGATAATTCTTCTAGTAGAGATTAGCATTCCCTATTGACATTTTCATGACCTTGTATAGTGAGAGTCGGTTGAGTCATGACCAGGCTGAAATTGAGAAAACTGTATCTGAAGAGCCTGCCACTCAGCAGCTAATCCATGGATTGAACCACAGGCATCTGGGAAGGGCTCAGATTTTCCAGTACTTTTTAGTGTATCATTTAGGTGGAATTTATCCCTGGCTTTTTCTGAAGAGCTTCACTAAATGATGTACAGTCTCTAAGTGTTGAAATACGTTGGCTAAGATTTTAAAGCTGTGTTTGTCTGATATTGCGTCCTGCCACAAGATGGCAGTGAAACACCATAGAATTTGAAACATCTTGAAAATTTCTTTTATCTGTTTTGCTCCCTTTTGCAGCCTCTAAAAGATGGCTCTGGGGCTGTCTGGTTAGATCAGTTGGTTAGAGCATGGTGTTATAACACCAAGGTCATGGGTTTGGATCTCCATATGGGCCAGCCACCAAAAATAAACAAAAACAAACAAACAAAAAAGATGGCTCTGCCACTCATGACCAGCAAAAATCCTCAAGTAGATAATAGGAAACTGAATCTCACAGTGTATCAAGTTGGCATTATTCCACTAATGCAAAGTTGATTAATTTGGGGAAGATCAATTAACATAATTCATCGTGTAATAAAGGAAGATAAAACATGGTCATCATCTCAAAATATGGGGGAAAAAGCATTTGACAAAATTTAACATCTGTTCATGTAAACTCTTAGAAACTAGGAATGAAATGGAACTTTTAATCTTGTAAAGGCGACTCACAAAAATCTATAAGATATACATAATGGTAAATTGTTGAAAGCATTCCCTTTAAGATTAGGAATGAGATAAGGACACTTGCTCTCACTACTTCTATTCAGCATCATGCTGGATGTCCTAACCAGTGCAGTAAGACAAGAAAAAGAATTAAAGGTATCAGGACTGGAAAAGAGTATGAAAATAGATTTGCCACTATTAGATATGATATGAGGTCTACTTGGAAAGCCTCAAAGAATCTACAGTTTTGTCTTTTTTTTTTTAATTGTGTTAAAGAATATGCAGATTTATTATTAAATTATTTAAAGTCTAGAGACTGGCCAGTTAGCTGCTGTGGGTGAGTGTAGTGCTGGTAATGCCAGGGTTGTGGGTCTGGATCCCTGTACTGGCCAGCTGCCAGAACAAAACAAACAAAAATAACACAGGCCAGCTGCAAAAAAAAAAAAAAAAAAAATCCATCTGTTTTACGCTGGCTGGTTAGCTCAGTTGGTTAGAGTGTGGTGTTATAACATCAAAGTCAAGGGTTTGGATCCCTATACTGGCAAAAAGTCTAATAAGGTTGCTGGATACAAAAGTCAACATACAAAATTATATTGCATTTCTTTACAGTAGAACAATCATTTAGAAAAGCAGTTTAGAAAAATATATCACTTAAAATACCAACCAAAAATATGAAATACTAAGGAATAAATCTAACAAAAAATATGCAAGCCTTTTTTAGAGAAAATTACAATCAATGAACAATAGTAAAGATCTAAGTAAGTGTCAGTCTTAGATTGGAATGTAACTATTACAAAGGTATTGATTATCCCTAGATTCATCTCTAGATTTATTGACATTCTAATAAAATCCTACTACGGTATTTTTGTGGAATTTGTCAGGCTCATTCTAAAATTTACAGAAAAGAAGTTTGACAATAACCAAGATACTTCTAAAGAAATACAGGTTGAAAAGATTTGCTCAGTGAGATATCAAGCTTTATTAATTAAGAATTGTGATGTTGTGTAAGGACAGATTTATAGACCATTGGGATATTATAGCTCAGAAACAGATCCACACATGTAAGAAAATTTACATTATGTTAGAGCAAGCGTTGTAGATCATGAGGAAAGGCTAGACTTTTTCAATAAATGTTACTGGGACAATGTGTTATTCATTTGTAAAACTGGAGAAAAAAGAAAAAAAAATTAGATCCATACTTTGTAACATATATACAAAAATGAATTCCAATATAAATTAAAGACTTAAACATGTTGTAAAGAGGCAAAACTATTAAATTTTTAGTGGAATATCTCTATGATCTCAGTGTTGGGAAAATTTTTTTGCACAAGACACAGCAAGTACAAACTATAAAGAAAAGATTGATTAACCCAAACTCTCTTAAGAACTTCTTTTCATCAGAATACACCATAAGGAGACTGAAAATACAAGCCACAAAGTGGGAGAAGATATTTACAGACTAGACACTTAACAAAGGATTAGTATCTAGAGAACTGCTATGAATCAATAATAAAAGACAACCTAATGGAAAAATGGGTAAAAAATACAAAAAGATATTTCACAGAAGAGGAACCACAAATAACTCATAAACTTACAAAAAGATGTTTAATCTCATTACTAATTAGAGAAATGGGAACCCAAACCACAGTGAGATTGGCAAAAATTTTAAAGTCACATCATCATCTTTCACTGCTTCTATAAGTGGAAGTGAAAATTGGTACAACCACTTTGGAAAACAGTTTGTCAGTAGCTAATAAAGTTAGATACTTACTTATACTCTTCAACCTAGTAATTTTACTCTTTGATAATATACTTTCTAGAAAAACTCTTATGTTTTTTAGGAAACATACAAGAGTGTTGGTGGCAGCAATGTTCACAATAGCAAAAAAGACAGGAAACAATCTAAACACCAGCTAATTCAAAAAAGTTCATGCAAAGATTTATATTATCTTTTAATTCTATTTCTCTTTGAATGTTTTGAAGTACCCTATTTTATGCAAGTAGAGTAGGTCATTGAATTCTAGGGCTGGCCCGGTGGCGCACTCGGTAGAGGGCAGCGCTTGGAAGCGCGGCGGCGCTCCTGCTGAGGGTTCAGATCCCATATAGAGACCGGTCAGCTCACTGGTTGAGTGCGGTGCGGGTGCGACACCAAGGGTTGTGATCCCGTTGCCGGTCACAAAAAAAGACAAAAAGGAAAAAAAAAAAAGAATTCTAGTATATTCCTACAACAAATTACTATATACAGTAAAAATGGGTGAACCAAGGTGTACAAACAAAAGATGATTCTCAAAATCATAATGTTGTGAGAAAGAAATAAGTTACAGAAGAATCCATACACAGTATTTCCATTTTTACCAAGTTCAAAAACAGGAAAAATTAAACCATACTTACATTGGTAGTAAATGTAAAGAAAAGCAAAAGAATGATTAATATAAAATTTAGCTAAGTATTTGTTTCTGAGGAAGAGCACATAGGAAGATACTAAAGATGTTCTTTTAAAATTTAGTGGCTTTAAAATAACATATGGGTATTTATTTCTACTGTTAGGATGTATTTTATATATTCTTCTATATACATATTTCACAGTTAAAAGTATCTAAAAAGGAGACACTTGGTATCATTGCTTTCTTTGTGTTAGGATCTCTACCTGCCCTGGGTAAATGTATTCTTATTTCCCCTGGTTCTAATAATTACTATCGCCAAAATATATTTCTATTGTCACTTCAAAACTGTCTCAGTAGGGGGAAATACGAATTTATATAGGATCACCAGTTGCTAAACAGCTTCCATTTTGTTCTAAGTGTGTCTTTTATGAAATTGGCAGCTCTTTAGATATTATAGTCCATTGTTTTCAAATATATTTGTTTCATCATTTTTTGCTTATATCAATCTCTAATACTTAAATTTTAATATTAAAAGTGGCTTATATCAATCTCTAATTTTAAAACAGATAAAAGCAGAATTGCTCTGGTCGAATAAAGTGTTCTGTGAAACCAGGGTAACACAGTTTGAACGCCACAGTTCTGGTTTGTAACTTAACATGAAATCTGAAATGGGGTGGTAGTCCTTTAGTATTTTCAAGAAATCAGAAAATTCTGACCTTTGAGAATATTTGAACACTAATTCTTCTTTACTCGGAAATTTAATTCTGTAAGCTGTTTTCTAACAAATTTAATATTACTTATATCCCATGATAGATATCACTACAGTATACTTTGAAGCTTTTGTTTCTGTTGTAAAACATAGCTTTCCTACCCAGAACTAGCCTGTCCTGGTGGCCTTAGGGAAGACCAGAGAAAATATACATAATTGTAGTCTCCCTACATTCCTTTTGACTTTAATGCAAGGTTCTCCTTGATCTATACCTTGTCCTGGCATTGCTTAGCTGTTTCATGGACTTCTAGGGGAAAATGTTGATTCCAGAGATAGCAGGCACACTTCTTATGGATATTGATAAGTTTGGTATGGTTTTGTTTTTTGAGCTAAAACTGTTCCTATCAGTAAGGGTGAAACATTTTCAGTGACTCACACCTGGAACCAGAATTTCAAGTCGTGTTAGATCTTAAAGATCATCAAATTTAATGGTATTAATATTTCTTTTTAAGCAGCAGAACCCTCTGTTCTAGGGAAATCATTCCAGGAAGCCAAATAGAAGAGTTTAGAGTAAGAGTAGGGTTGGAGCTATTCCCTACCCCTCAATCTTTAACGCACACCCCACCCCCTCACTCCCAATTTTTTTTTCTTTTTTTAATGTAATGAAATTGAGGCCTGGAGAGGTTAAATGATTTGCACATAGTAAATGAGTAACACGTCTAGGCCTTGAGCCTAGGTCTTATAATCCAAATTGCCTGACTCCTAGTCCAGTGTTCTTTTACTAATAAAACCACACTGCAAGTTCTATACAAATTCATCTAAGAAAATTCTTAAGATGTTTCTTCTCACTGCTTATCAGGTGAGTTATAGACAATAAAAAACAAATAGCATGTGAATGTGAGCATTCATATACGGATGAGAACTAATTATTTTTGCTGCTTGCAGGACACTATGACAAATGTGTGTTTGCCCTTCGGGAAGAGAACAAAAGTGACATGAACACTGTACTGAACTACATCTTCTCTCATGCTCAAGTCACCAAGAAGAATCTTTTGGTGACAATGCTTATTGTGAGTACCATTTTTAGAACTTGTAAGGATGTTTGATGATATGCAAAAAGTTTTTTTTCCTTCCGATGGCTGTGGTCAGAGAAGAAACTACTGTCTTTTGTAATTAAGGGATGAGTAGGGCTTGGGTTGTGAATTAACATTTTCTCACATTAGCTTTTCTCTTTGCTCTGAAGGAAACTTCTTGGGTTAGAAAAGGACTGTTCTGGCTCTACTTAGAAATGCCCTCTGCTTCCCCATTCTTCTTTTCATCGTGGCAGTAGCTTTAAACTTTAGTCTTATCTAGCCAATGTACTCTTTCATTTTAACTCTTGTTTGTTCCATTGATATAAGCAATAGCTCTTGTGTCAAAAACTTAAAAAGAAAATTAAAAACTGTTAGAAATCCTGAACTGTCCCTCCTCCACCAAAGAAATTTAAATTTATTCTGCATCTTCTTTAGTTCCCCCCCCTTTTAAAATTTATATGAAAATCTAAGCTCGGATTATTGTATTGTTAGTAAATGATTTTGTCCCATAAAGTAGTAATATGAGAATTAGTAGAAAGTGGGAATGAGGGGTGAGACTGATAAATGTGAATAGGACTAATGTACATTTGACCATGGGTAGAATTTTTGTGTACTTGGGGATTTTTTTTTTTTTTTTGTCCTTTTTGAGACGGGCTGCACCCCGCTCAGCCAGTGAGCGCTGTGAGCGCACCAGTCATCCCTATATAGGATCCGAACCCGTGGCGGGAGCGCTGCTGCACTTCCAATGCTGCACTCTCCTGAGTGCGCCACGGGCTCGGCCCTACTTCGGGATTTTTAAAGATGATTTGCTAGTCCTTTACTCATAAGTCTTTCTGGTTGAGTTAATTCTAAGAATCAAAGAACAATGGGACTGTTCTTAAACTCTCTCTCACCTAGTCCTGGGCAATTGCCTTGCTGCTGCATGTTTGTCTTTTTGGGAGATTATAACACGTTTTCACTCTTAGAGTCTCCTTTCTCGTCCCTTTCTGGAATTGGCATTTTTGGTACCTTAATTCCATCCTTTTTCTTTCTTTTTTTTTTTTTTTGGTGTCCAGCCAGTATAGGGATTGGACCCTAGACTTTGGTTTTTATCAACACCACACTCCAACCAGCTGAGCTAATCGGCCAGCTCACCATCCTTTCTTCTTGGAGCAAAAAAGCCATAAATCTTCATTGCCATTTTTTATTTCATAGTTCAGAATAAAGAGAGACTATCTACCTCACATCTCTGATTAACAACAGTGCCACTCATTCATTTATCTGCTTAGCTGGTTAACTCTAAAGGATATAACATTTTTTAGAATAGCCACTTTTAAAAATATGTAATTACAGGGAGAGTTCATTACCTTTGCTACCCTAGAATGGCTGGATGGTGGGGAAATCAGAAGATGCATTTGAGAGGGGGAAAAAATATTAGCATTATGTAATATTTCACCTTCCTCAAGTGACAGGTTTTAGCAAGGAAATGATAGAATCTATGACAACTTGCTAATTTTTTTTTCTCAACCAAAAGAGGTAAGAAATCTCTGACTTTTTTTTTTTTTTAATTTTAACTCAAGAATTGTTGATTCTCATTTGGATAAAGCCAAGATTTCCTGGCAGAAAAGGGTAATGATGAGAGGGTAGAAGAATCTGTCAGTTTGGACCTAAAATGGAGTGGAATTTGCCTTTATAGGAAGTTAATTATGTTGAGTTTTTCATCTGATTATGATTACCTTTTTAAGAACTTAACAGTTTTCTACACTAAAAATAGACCAAAGCCCAGAATCCTTGGAGCAGCAGAAGAGTAATGATCGTCCAAGACTGTCGCTGGGTTTCTTAAATTCTAATTTGTAAGATATAGGAGCTTGGCTCACTCCTTTTGCGGAGTGATTGTAAGTAACGCTTGCCTTAAGAATCTCATTATTGGAACACGGAGCCATATTTCCTCTGAGAATTCTGGAGTAGCTTTGAGCCGGGGCTGTTCATTTCTCAAGTAATCACACTGGTGTGATGGAGAGAGAAAATGGCAGCTGTTCGGAGCTCAGGCCTTCAATTTTCTTCAGAGTCCAGTCACTCAAGTGTGTAATTACACAGGGGGTGCTGCAGAGGCGTTGGGCCCTGTCAGAGAACTGGTTTGAGGCTTTGCTTTCTGCCAGTCAGGACAGGCAGAAGCCAATGGGACTCTGACTTGCTGCTGTTCCCCCCCCCTCCCCCTTGTCATCCTGATTACTTCTTACCTGCATGGATAGTACCCGAACTTTCTTTCCAACAGGCTGAGCTCTTTGGAGAAAAGAGCTGTTTCATAGTGTTTGCCTTTGGATGAATAAGACAGAGGAGAAGGAGGAGGATGGTTGAAGACATATGAACCAGCAAGCTGAATGTGTCCTTTTCTTTATTTTGGTATCTTCACTTTTTTTTTTTTTTTTTAAGAAAAATTCTGTCATATCTTACACAGTGTTCTTTAAAAAAACCAAGCAATATTCAGTAAACATAATAGGTTCTGTAGGCTTTCATATCATTATTTTCTTTTGAAACAGCAGTTATTTTCACCTCATCTTAAAAGACTTGGAAATATAGAAGTTGACTATTATGATTGAGCTCGGGACCAGCTAGCAGTGACTTATGGAACAGGTATTAAAAACTCAGAAGGCGTTCCTTTCTGATCTGATATTACTAAGCAGTGACAATGGTCAGCTGCTCCCTTCCTCCTTCATGTCCTTCTCCATCCCCCTTCCCAACAACATATGTATTAATCGTAGTAGCTGCTATGAGCCATTTTAGTTGTTTGGATTACTCTTTCTGCGGGTCGTACTGTTTTTTCTTACCTGGACATGGTAGCATTTCTGTTCCCTCAGTTTGTGTTCTCTGCTGGTTTCCCATGGTTATGTGCCCAGCATTCCAATCTCTGCTTTCTAGAAGTAGGAATGTTGATAGTGTGCTTTGCTGAGCTAGATGATGATTTATGGTGCTTTTGAACTTAGAGGGAGGGATCAAGAATATCAGATTTTCTTGAATCAAAGTCACAGGATATGGGCTGCTCCAGTGAAGAGGTATCTTCATTTTTTAAAGGTGTTAGCATAACTTACCTAGTGGTAACATGACTCAAGGATTCTTGAGCAGATTTCTTCTAATCTTTCACCTGATCTGGAAAGCTGGACTATCAAGTGAAAGACTCTTTTAGTTTCCTCCATTTAGAGGAACATTGTACTGCAATTGAAAACCATGTCTGGAAGACCAGTAGTAAATTTATTTTGTAAAAGCTCTTTTTATTTCTTAAATTTAACTTTATAGGAAAGAGCTTAGAGCTCAGAACATTATGCTTGCTTAGAGATATTTAAGGGACTCTTTAACCAAATTAACTATTTGAAACAAATAAAAAGTATAAATATCCTCATAGCCTTCTAGATAGCAATGTACATATTGTTTAGCCCCCTGGATGCTGTGTAGTCTTCCCCTGACTTCTTATGTCTTATTTCTGATAATGGTTCACATGAACATGCTACAAACCATGCTTTCATATGAGTAATGCCATGCATGTGAGCCTCTGATTTGGTTTAGACAGAACATTTAAAAGGCTCATCAATTATGCTTCAATTTAAAAAAAAAAAGAAAAAAATGTTTAAAAAGGAAAAAAATAAAAATGAAAAAATAAAATGCTGATCAGCACCTTTCCTTTCTCCTCTTAACATGACTGCAAATAATTTTGTCTGGTATGTTGTTAGTAAAGAAGAAAAGTCTTTCCCAGTGATCCCAAGTTTATTGAATAAGGGTGATATTAACAATATCTTGTTAAATCTGTCCCATGACATCTTTGGAGTGTCAAAAAGTCCAGGTGTGACTGGTGAAAGCTATCTGTCCATTGCTGATATTGGAATTAGTGCCTCACCCAGCTGAAAAATAGTTAATGTCTTGAGGGCATTACACTTAAGGTCATATTCTTTTCATTTTGAATTGCCTTCCTTAGAGGCATTTAATGCTTATGGTGCTATGATGAAGTTATACTATATTGGGCTGTTCTGTCAGTCAGCTGTGTAACTTTGGCTATGGTTTTGACACTTACACATGTTTATTATATTTCTGCAAATCTGAAATATTCTCCATAGTTAGCAACCATCTAGGTCAAGAATAAAAGCAAGAAATAACTGTGTTGTACTAGTCTTAACCATTGCCAAATAATAATGTTCACTTTGGCCTGCAGATTTTTGCAAGTGACATGTAATCCCCAAATCAGCAGATGGGCTCTTTAAGTGAACCTGTTTATGTTGAGGAAACACATGTGCTGACATACTCACCATCTAATGGCAATGTTACAAAATGTTCTCCAGGACTATATGGTGATGTTGGAGTGTCCAGTTGCCAAAAGGAAGCCTGTCTCAAAGATAGAGGGCCATAAGCTTCCTGTTGGATGTTATTGCCAATCTTTTTCTAAGTATTCATGATGACAGTGGAGAAAATAATACTTTAATGGAAAACTTCCAAGTCAGGATAAACTGTTGGAAGTAGTGGTTTATTCATACTGCGTTTGATATTTCACATCCCAGAAAGGTCTGGTTTTTGTACTTTATCACAAGGAGTTCAGGAAGATTGTCAGCTTGTGGTTATGGACGAATAATTACTTTACTTTTATTTTTTCTAATCTATATAGTTCTCTTTTATTACAGATACAAGGGCTCTTCAAAAAGTTCATGGAAAGATTTGTATTCCTATTATCTTTTTTGGGGTGCTGGCTGGTACAGAGATCAAATTCGTGTATTATCTTTTAATAATATTTTCCACAGGGCCGGCCCGGTGGTGCACTGCTACAGTGCGCCGCTTGGGAAGCGCGGCGGTGCTCCCACCGAGGGTTCGGATCCCACATACAGACCGGCCGCTCGCTGGCTGAGTGAGGTGCGGGAGCAACACCGAGGGTTGCGATCCCATGGCCGGTCCCGGTCCAGTACGGGCGCAACACTGAGGGTTGCGATCCGTTGCTGGTCACGAAAAAAGAAGACAAAAAGGAAAAAAAAAAATAATATTTTCCACAAACTTTTGAAGGCCCTTTGCACTATTTCTTTTTCCCTATCCTCTTTCTTATCCCCTTTCTCTCATAGCAGAAAGATGAAAAAGTGGTTTTAAAAAAATGGTTTTGTGGGCCGAGCCCATGGCGCACTCGGGAGAGTGTGGCACTGGAAGCGCAGTAGCGTTCCTGCCGTGGGTTCAGATCCTATATAGGGATGATCAGTGCGCTCACAGTGCTCACTGGCTGAGCGTGGTGTGGCCGGTCTCAAAAAGGACAAAAAAAAAAAAAAGTGGTTTTGTGTGTTTTGCTTTGTTTTGTTTTTTGAGTTAGAACACGATCTGTAATTAAGCAAGAAGATAACTTCATTTTATAATTTTGTTTTAGTTTAATCTCTAAAGGTAAACCTAGATTTCCTTTAAAGAGAAAACATTCCATATCAAATCTGATATAGGTTGGAGAGGTGACTAGTGTTCTTATTTTGTCATGTTGGCTTTTAATGTTGAGACTTTAGTCTGGCTATTTGCAGAGTAGCTGAGTTGTGGTATTACCCAAGACACTGCTTATGGTTTGAGATCTATTGGTAGGTCATTCTGATGACTGAAGTAAGTACCTCAGAAAGGAATATGTTTGCTCTATTAGGAATGTTAGGAAAAGAGGGATTTAGGTAGGAGAAACTTATCTTGATTTCCCTAGCCACTGTTATCTGTTCTTTCCTACTGTCTTTTTATGGTCTTATCTCTGGCAATTTTACAAATTCCCTTAAAATTCTATTTTGCTCATTAGTTCTCAGCAAAAGATGAGATTTAGTTAAATTTCTCCCTCCTCTTTGCTTTTATGCCTAGTGGAACAGGTCTTCTAGTCTATGTCTGCGTGTTCAACAGAACCCTAGATTTATATTCACTTTAATAGCAGCATTTATTTTTCTCACTCAGATGAGTGAATTCCCTGTGTTAAATAGGTGAAAATGATATTCGCACTTCCTTATCTATAAATTTCATCATGTGTTTTATGACTCTAGACTGTTGGAATAGACCTCTGGTTGGTGGATTGTGGAACCAGAGTCTCTTTTTCTGAATCATTTTCTCAAAAAAAAATAAAAAATAAAAAAAGTTTTGAGAAGCTTTCTTCCCAGTATAATGAGTATTCCAAAAGTATTTACGTTATGATGTGGAAAGTTGTAGGAGTTTTGGAAAAAGTGTTTTGGGAAATGCATGTCTGCTCCAAGGGCCAAAAGTCCCACACTTTTGTTTGTACTGCTGTGATAAAGGACTATAAAGAGTATCCCGAGATGGAGAAGGTTAAGTATGAAAAAGAGATTCTTAAAGCAAAGGGTTGATAATCAAGGTGGGGTGAAGATTAAAAAGCAGCAGCAGGAAGACCCTTTGGGATCTGGTCTTTCATGTTCCATTGATAGCAAGGGGAGAATAAAGATTCACTAAAAAGTAAAGGCAATTATTTTAAACTCCAAGTAGAGGGAATGACATCTAAATGTGTATATTTTAAGAACTACTACTACCACTAGCTCTGTAAAACTCAAAAAGGACAGACATTTATAAAAACTGCATCTGCACTTTTTTCAGCTGAGATGAAAATTACATGGATAATGGATGAATTTAGGGAATAAACTGATATTACAATATATTCCAGTAGAAATATTTCTCAGAATATGATGGGGATTTTTTTCATGGCTTTTAAAAATTTTTAGAAGAGGAAGGACCCAGGGCCGAGCCCTTGGCGCACTTGGGAGAGTGCAGCGCTGGGAGTGCAGCAGTGCTCCTGCCGCGGGTTCGGATCCTATATAGGGATGACCGGTGCGCTCACTGGCTGAGTGCGGTGCAGCCGGTCTCAAAAAGGACCCAAAAAAAAAAAAAAAAAAAAAAGAAG